ATGGCATTCGACACCTCATGTAACGTTATCTATCGAAACCTGTATTAGGCGGACACGCTGTATTAAGCGGACACTACAGCATTTCCCGAGGGCTGTGTCCGCTTAATACAGGTTTCACAGTACAGACCAAACACTGGACTTTGAAATACCGATAGTGTACTATCCTCGCAAAACACTTGAACCCTACGGATGAACAGACGAGATGCAATTTAATCTATGACATATACTTTAATAACAACCGCTCTTTATACTGTAACTTTTCGTCTATTGTATTTCTCCACCGATCACATTTCATTTTTATATTTGTATTATTTTATATACTGTTTACTGCAACCATTAATTCGATTCTCACTTAGCTTTTCTAGCCCCTGATGAAGACTAGTTTTGTCTAGTCGAAATATTGGGCAAATAAATTTATAAATTATCAACCCTTAGCTGTCCGATCAGCTTTGCCTTCAATTTGAAGTGTTCGGTTTTAGTCGGTGTAGCATATGACTTCCTGTTGCTGTGGTTATTAATGAAATACAGTTTCTATCGTTCAAATTTGTTTCTTTTAAAGGAAATTAAGAGAACGAAGATTCTCGTCGTCATCTCGAGATGAATTTGAGTCAACAGGGGCACCCAACGAGAATAAAGTTCAAAACCACTAAACATAGCAATGTTAAACGTATTTTAGTATTTAAACGGTAGATATAGGCATATTTTTATCCCCTAAAAAGTTTTCATCTGTTCGGATTTCCTAGCTGAAAGTCTAGTGATCCGAAAATTATGGGTATCAAAACTTACCTTTTCGAAAATTTCAGACGGAAAAAAGGCTCCCGAAAATTCTAGGTGACCTTTTTAGGGCAAAAATCCGTTACAAATGGACAATTATTAAATACCATTTTTTAGAAGTTCTAAATTCCTAGGAGAGGCAGGCAAGCAAGAAATTTTACAACAAATACTCCGAAAATTCTAGATTTCAAATCGTCTTCCGAATAGATATTTTCCGAAAATTGACGTTGGGTTCTGAAGTCAGCGAAGACATGTTTCATATATTGAAAGTGTAGTTGTGTTGTCTTGCCACTGTTTTTTGTCCGTTAGTCCGACAATATCCCCGCCAAGCGTTTTTAATGAACGCCAACTAATTACTCTGTAGCATTTGTCTTAAAAGTCTAAATACTTCTAGCGCGTGATGATTGAATGACGACCATGGGCGTCCTCTCTCAGTCTGAACTGTTTTGTGTGAGTTCTGAGCTTAAGTTTACAGAAATAGTGAAATTAAAACGGACGGCTTCCTACCTTGGGACAGCTTCACGTGCTCATCTTCTGTCTTGTTGTTTATTGCTTCTATTGGCAGAAACAACGCAATCGTCAACAACATGGATAAAAAGGCAAAAAGCCAAGAACTTTTTATAGAAAATGTCGCTACACTGGGACGATGATTTGCGCTGGGATCTCGGGCCATTTTCATGTAGAGGAACTTGAGTATGTTCGGAGCAGAGGAAATTTTACTCTTCTTATTTTCCTCTTCCGTTTTTCTCCTCGGAAAAGGCTTAAACATCTGAAGGTTAAAACGTTACCATATACTCAACTGGATCACCTTTCTGACCTCGTGACAAAACAGGTAAGATTCCAGAGAGTACGCGAAAATCACGTTGAAATAGGCTTAACACCAGTTTAACACTAGGGTGAGTGCATAGCGGAAAGGAACCTGGGCCAAAGTGACTTCGCTCCAAGATGTCCTCCCTTCGCGATTCGACGCTTGATTATCGGGCGATTTTCGGAAAATGAGCCGGTGCTCGTCCTCGCTTCTTCTCTGCCTCTCTTACAAGACCGCACCCGAAGAAGCGGCGTTAATCGAGCCTTCCTCCCTTCTAGAAGTCCCTATGGCCTATATACGCTCTCACAGCAAACTTATTTAACACAAATGCCAGTTTTATTCTGTGAGTGTGTGTGTTAGGAGAACATTTTGCCTCGCCTTCGTGTGGCCTAACAAAACAGCTAAGCACTGCAACGCAGGCTCAACCATGGGCCTCAAACTAGAGTTTGTAACCTTGTCCCAAGGGGCCTCTCGGTTATTTTTCTTATTTAGTCGCTACTTTGTCTCTAACAGGAGTTACCGGACTTTTCCAAAGCATCGGGACTTTCAAAACACTTTTGAATGCAAAACATGGATAAGGACCAAGAAATGGAGACCAGCGAACCGAACTGTAAGTTGCTGAGACAACGACGAACTCGGCCGATGCCGTATCCAATGTACCGGCCGTACATAGATTTATAAAGAAGAACGGTTCCTTTCGGTGACTTAGCCTAGCTTAGTTATTCTTTTAGATGGGCCTCATACAGACATAGAACACTGAAGACCATTTTAACGCAGCTCAAATAAAACGCTTCTTAACAGTTTCTTATTGACTGACTGGATTTCTCAAATACAATACATTTACCATTATTTCACGAGTGAGTTGCAGTTGCAGAGGTCAAGAAGTACAACTTAACCAAGAAGGGATGTGGTTGTTGTCTGCACGTTGCCGGGTTCATTATTATTTTTTCTATGTGCCCCCCCCGCCCCCAAATATCAATAATTATAATGCTTTCATTGTAGAATGGGCAAGAATTGATGTGTTCACAAGTATAGATCTCCTAATTGAAATGACCAAATTCAATGACACAAACCAACGCCTTTTCACTTTAATGTATACAGTACGCCGTAGCCGCTGGGAGGGGGGTGGGGTGGGGTGGGGTGAAGTGGGGTAGGGTGGTTTGGGATGGGGGAGTTCTAATTTCATCCAGTATTTTTTATGATCGAGAAACATGACGCTTGTTACTTAAGCATCTGCTTACAGCAATTTCTTTCGCGGGACCGTAAGTTGTTTATAACAGTTAAAGTTTACTATCAACTTGAAGAATATTTTCTAGCCAAATTGGGGAAACTATTGCGATTGTCGTCCAGTGTTTTTGTATATCAAAGAGTGCTTGTTGATGGAAAGCGTAAAAAGCCGGAGTGAAACACAAGAAATGGGCCGGGCCTCATCACAACATAAATTGTAAGAGTAGGACTCAATGGCCGTTTTTATTCTGCAGTCGCGCGCATTATCCGTCTAAACGAATTTGGGCAAACATTTTGTAGTTCGTCTGGTTATGCATCTCAAGTATTAAGACGGCACGCAAGATGAATTATGGGTCCAGACGAACGACCTTTCGTAGTAATGTCGTTCAAGACGTATTACTAAGGATAGTTCATCCAGAGGCATAATGCACCTTGTGCCCGTTTTTTATAAGCCGGTGACGCATAACCAGACGAACAACATATGTTTGCCCAAATTCGTCCAGACGGATGATGCGCCCGACTGTAGAATAAAAACGGCCAATTATACAACCTGCTGGTAAGAAGAGATACAGACGAACTTTAGACGAATAAAATTAAATATCAAATTACTAAAGTAAAAACTTGGTCGGTTTTCTTTTGTTGTATAACATTTATTGTCGAGAAAGTATCTCTTAAAAGCAAGGGAAATGGGAGTTTTAATGTTTTAATTTACAAAATCTGCATTTTAGATTCATTCTCAAGTAGTTGAAGGCATGGGTCTAAGTCATCTGGGATTTTTATGCACACTTTTCAAAACTCATTGTTGAAGACAACCACGAGGAATGAGAGATGGTAAGTAAACTCAGCTAAAAAAAAAAACTTAAAAGGAATTTTATTACCTGACCACGTGATCGACCACGCCCTATATTGCAATAAGTGTAGCTCTAGTTTCTCTGTGTCAAAACGTTGACCTTACAAAGCGTCTAAGAAATCAGCTCGGAATGGTTCGAAGCGCTACAATTTGTAGGTGCAACTGGTGTTCGTCGACTAGTGCCCGTCCTCCCCTGACTAAAATTTTCGTCAGGAGAAAGAACGGCTATAAATGACTTTCTCTCATTCCGACCGTTTTTACAAGAAGACTATTAGTAGCCACTGTTTGGACCTAAAAAGGAAATCGGTTTGCTTTCTATCTAGTGCGCATTTAAACGTAAAACATTTCTCCATAAAACGTCACCTAGGTAGTTAATTTAACCAGTAAGAAAGGAGCATTATTAATAAATTAAAGCAAAAGAGTCAAGGTTTAGCTACTTGAACCAGATTAGTGCCGGATAAATTTAAAATGATTAAAACCATTGAATATTCAAATTTTAGGTGAGTTCTCTAATTCCAATGATTAAATTTTAGAGGACATAATAAACGTTCAACACGTGTAAATTTAGTGGGGACCGTAGTAAATGAATTGAAAGTTGTTGAGAAAGTAGCGATCACAATTCGACCATTATCCTAAGGTCATATCACAGGGACACCCAACGAGAATATAGTTCAAAACCACTTAAACACAGCATTGTTAAACGTATTTTAGTATTTAAACGGTAGATATAGGCATATTTTTATCCCCTAAAAATTTTTCATCTGTTCGGATTTCCTAGCTGAAAGTCTAGTGATCCGAAAATTATAGGGATCAAACTTACTTTTTCGAAAATTTCAGCCAGAAAAAAGGCCCCCGAAAATTCTAGGTGACCTTTTTAGGGTAAAAACCGTTAAAAATGGGCAATTATGCCAATGTTTAGATGTTCGAAAATCCTAGGAGAGGCAGGCAAGCAAGAAATTTTACAACAAATGTTCCGAAAATTCTAGATCGCAAATAGTCTTCCGAACAGATATTTTCCGAAAATTGACGTTTGGTGCCCCTGATATCACTTCAAGCCTTATCAGTTTGCGTCATTCCATCCTCATGATAAGAACCTGCAGAGCCACTTCCCTCAATTACGTACTTACCATTCCTCTCTCTCTCTCTCAAGCATGCACTCCCTCTCAAAATTTAAATGAAAATGCCTGATTGCAGGTTATCCAGCTCGTTCTCGCTGATACCGGCATCAAATTATAACCAAGGTTTCGCTATTTTAAAAGTCCGGCTCTCGAAATTGCATTTTAGATTATTCATTGCTTCTGAGAGATTATCTTTAAGAAGAAAAATCCCAAGAGCTGTGAGTCAACGGATCCACAAGTTTAATGAATAAGACGCTTCTGCGATATATCCAAAGTCATTTTCATTTGCGTATCCAAAAGAAGCGTCGTTCGCTTCTGTTATTCCAATCCCATGATCAGCGCGGTCACAGCCACTTCCTCCTCCTCCAATCATCATCACTGATCCATCACCACCATCCCAGTCACACCAGAAGCCTATCTTATTGCTACTTTGGATGTCGCTACTACACTCAGCCTGTTGAAACCCGTCTGTTGTCTTATACTGACCGCCATATTGAACCGTGCAGCTTCCCAGGCACCTGTCACTGGACCAAACCTTGCCGTTTCTAAAGTTACCATAACTTGTGATTTTTGATCGAAATGTTTGTCCACCCAAACAGTTCCCCGTGGTCTGCAGCAGTGGCGTGTGACTGGAATCATCACTGCGCGTGATCTTAAATTCGCCACCTCTAACCATCCAGAAAGCTGGTGAGATCATGTCCCCATTGACCGACGGATCAGTTGTTGTTCCCATGGAAGCATTTTGGTCATACCACCAGAGACCATCATCTCGCATCCAGGACTTGGTGTCGCGATTTGAAAATCTGGCGATAAGAGTCCATGGTGTATCTTGCAATGTGATGTCACAATACACCTGTGTAAAAGAAACCAAAAGGAAAAAAGCAATAACCTACTAAAGTTCGGAAATGTGTGCGTTCCGCTCAGCTAAGAGAACATATATGAAAAGCCTCTCGGCTCAGCTTAATAGCTGTAAACTCCCATAAGCGGGTACCCTCGAAACCATGTCCATGTCCGCTTGCGTGAGGTGTCTGCTCCCGAGAAGTTAAAAAGGCTGAGATTGCCAGTACCACTGGCGCGGTGGGTGCCCGTCTGTGGGGGTTAGTTCGTAAGTGGCGGTTCAACGCCAGGGCTCGACGGTACTGAAGAAAAATTTGACATTAAATATCATGGATGTTAACTTCGATAGAGCGCTAAATTTGCATAATGACTATTGATTCTTCTAAGGCCTCTCATTTAGGATTTTATACCAGGAGAGGTAGTTGTTTGGTTAATACGTTACTCTTCGGCTGAACGTTTCCTCGAGAAACGACATTTTCAAAGAAAAGGGATCAAAATCTTGGAGTTTTCGAGAACAGGACCATTTTCGCTATGTTTTTTTTTATTAAACCTTTTTTGATGTGAAGTATATATGAAATAATTCATTTAAAAAATTAAAAAAAAAGCTAGAGTGATGTGTTTATAATTAGCTGCCATGTTAGCTCACCTGGAATTGTGTAGACTGAATGTTAAGGTTATAGATTCTGCTTGATGAAAATTTTGTTACAACAGCGTCACAGGAAACTAAAAAAGAAAAAGATATAACTTGATAGCAAATAAGCCCGAACTACTCTTTATGTTTTACTCCTGGCTTGTACCACGATAGTGTACAGGGAATGTTCAGATTGATTTACTCTAGAGGATCTATTTCCAATAACATGTTCCACTGAATATACAACTGAGTTAAAAAAAAAAACAACAAAAAAAAAAGACGTAATTGTCAACTTCTAAGTACAGAAATGCCTTATACTTGAGGCGTTTCTTTTCAAATAGTCAATGACTGCGTTGCTCGAAGTATTATTATTCAGGGACACCCAACGACTATTTTCTTTAAAATATCTGTTCGGAGAAGCAAATATTGCCTAGAATGTTCTATAGTTGGTTTGCACAGTGACGTCATCAAATTGTAAAGTCAAAATAGAGAGGTTTTACGAATTCTTATTTACACTAGCTTGATGATAAACAAAAAGTAAATATTTGTACAGGTTTCCATTCCCATTGCATGTTTCATTTCGAAAATACAGCAATTTGAACTTCTGAGTTTTCACAGCGCGTGACACCAAAATAGGAATGCTGTCTCGTTGAAAAAAAGTCTCAGTCTCCTCCTTCAACAGTATAACCATTTCAGGTATTAAAAGATATGTTTATGCGCACGTATGCTAGTTGTCGAGTGAAAAGAAAGCGCTTTTTTTTATAGAAAAAGTGAACTCCAGATGTTTTTGTTGATTTCCGGCGGCCATATTGGTGCACTTAAACGGTACGCCAATATATACAAAGCTCTACAAAGGTCCATGAAAAGTTTCGGCAAATACCTCAGAAACTGTGGGCCACAAAGACCTGAAACTTGGAAAAATTGTTTATACATTAGTCTTTTTTAACATTTCATTTTCATGGCTTCTTCCACCTGACGGTTTCCAATTTATTTTTTTGTTGCGTGACAGTGAAAACGATCTATTTCCTGAGGACGGCTAAAAGTTTCTAGATGACCTTTCCATTCATGTACAATTTTCTACGCTTATCTAATAAATTCCCTACGATTTTCTGAAGTTTAATTTTCGCATATTACTTCCCAAGTTAGGCTATTTTTCATAGAAAAAAAGAAGCCTAAAATTTTCGGATTCAAAATTGTGATGGAGAGAGGAACAAGAAAATGTCTCGCTTTCGTAATAAGTCAAATTTCATCTAAAATTTTCGGGAAAATAATGCTGAAGCCCTTGTAATTTCCAAAAGACTCAAGTTCCTCTAGGATGACCGAACAGATACAAATTTTATAGCGCCGCTTAGAATGCTTTTCTAGAGATCTAAAAGTACTCTGGATGGCCGAAAAAGTGTTTTTAACTGATGTACTAGGAGGAAACCCTCCTTGGGTGCCCCTGATTATTCTTAAAACAGACCCGACCCATTAGAGGTGTTAGAGCAAGGAAGAATTACAAGGGTATTTTCTTTTGTTGAAAGGAGCTGCAACGTTGCTTCCCAGAAGGAGAAAAGATATCTTTACCCACCAGGCTTTCGCTGGAAACCAAGAGTTGTCCAGGCAGTAGCTAGGAGATACCATCGCCTCTGGAATTGAAATAGATTCTCCCGGATCACCCTTCAGTCCCATTATTCCCCTGGGACCCATTGCGCCTGTTAAAGGTATTAAATTTAAGGTCATCATAAAATTTCGAAGTCAACCTAATGAGAGCGCTATCCATGTTTCCGACCTTTATAATCATGTAGTTTAAGAAATTAGAGAGTGAACTTGAACCTTGAATTGGCTGTTAGCTGACCAGGAGCATGTCAATTTTGAACGCTGACAGGAAAAATAGAATTGTTGTTGACATTACTGTTGCAATGAGAAAATTCAAATATGCTAGAGCTCACGATATCAGAAAGGCTTTCAATTGCGTGTGTGGTAGACAATGCTAACTGTATACTGATTAAAAAACATTTGTAAATGATTGTATTAAAAACTTTTTAATTTAAAATTCTTATTTATGAATGCTTTACCTTTCTCTCCTTTCTCTCCTTTTATTCCTGGAACTCCAATTATGCCTTGCTTACCATGTCTGCCAGGAGGACCCATAATACCACGTGCACCTCTCTTACCCTTGTCACCAGACCTTCCTCGTCTTCCTCTGGAACCTCTACTTCCTTTTTCACCCGGAGGACCTGGGACGCAGGCATTTTTTGAAGGCTGACACCAGGATTGTGGTTTCAGTTGGCTTATTCGTATATTAATTTCACGGCGTACATCCTCTATTGACGGCGAGCTGTTGCTTGCTGAGTTCATGCTGCGTCGAATTCTTGTACTGAGCAGCGATTTCATAGACTCTGAAAGGAAGCGAGATTACACAAGTTACTGAGAAAGAGAGTTGGTGAAATTATAGATGAGGACTCTCTATTGTATTGTACGACATGAAGAACATTTATTTAAAAAGTGAAAAGACATATGCCGCGTAGACATTATTCAGTCCTTTACTCTCTCCAGTGTTTCCATTTCGTTTTTTTGAAAAGATCTAGAGGGGAAAGACATTCAAAAAAAAAAAAAAATACAAAAAGACGGCACACATCGCATTTTCTCAGCATGAAATATGAAGTAAAAGCGAAAACTTAATAAATTTCAAGCAAATTTTATAACCTGATCTTCTTTGATAACACTTCGCGTAAGTATGCAAATCCTTCTGGAAAATTCTCACCATCTTACATCAAAACAGGAAAATGGGTTATTTGGTTTTAGTGCAGCAGTATCAAATGACGTTAAATAACGTTTCCTACGTCCTGTTGTCGTGATTATTATGACAGTGAAACCCACATCAAATGGAATACAGCTTCTATCGTTTAAACTGGTTTTCTTTTAAACGACAAGCTAACAGTTAAGGAAAGAAAGATTTTTGTAGTTATCTCGCGAAGAATTCGAGTAAATGTCTTAAACTGCATCATTTTGAAATTAGAGACATGTTTCATACTGAAAGGGTAATTGTGTTGTCTTACTGTTTTTCGTTAGCTCGTCAAATCTCCGTCACTCGTTTGATGATCGCCGACCAAATTATTACTCTGTAGCATTTGTCTTAAAAGTCTGAAAAACAATGGTGTATGATCACCGAATGGTGGCCATGTGTGTCCTTTTTCATTCTGCATTAGGCTCCAAGGTACCCGGTAATGATTTTATAAAAAGGCTTCATCGTTTTTCCACGGCGAACTATTTAAATTCTGAACTAAAAGTTACAAAAAAAAGTTAAAGCGGACCCACGCCTACCTTGGGACAATTTCACGTTCTCGTCATCGGTTGCATGGAAGGTCATCACAATCTTCATTTGGCTTTCAACTTTGTAAATCCGCATGTCATTAATCTCTGTCTTATTGTTTATGGCTTCCATTCGCAGAAACAACGCAATCGTTAACGACATAGATAAAAAAGGAAAAAGCCAAGAACTTTTAGAGAAAATGTCGTTACACTGGGACGATGATTTGCGCTGGGATTCCATTTTCATGCAAAGGAGCTTGAGTATGTTCAGAGCAGAGGAAATGTTAAAGTTTTCTTATTCTCCTCTTCCGCTTCTCTCCTCGGAAAAGGGAATTATTCAACATCTTGAGGTTAATAAGTTATCATATATTCAACTGGATCAAATTTCTGACCTCGTGACAAAACTGGTGAGATTCTAGAGTACGTGTAGGGAGGCGGGTACAGAGGAGAGAGGAACCTGGGCCCAAATGATATCCCCCCAAGATTTTGAATTTGAAAATTCGCGCGTAAAAGCAAGCGAGTGTGCGCGCGCGCAAGTCATGTGAAAGAGAAATCTTGATTGAGTCCACCGGCGCGAGGGTGCCAAAATGAAGAATTTAGCACATGCACTCACTGCTCGATCGGTGACCAATGTTCTAACCGTACGACCAAGTTTTGCTTCACTGAAATCAAACCGAACTTAGCAAATTTTACATATTGGGTTTATGATCAACGAAAAAAGATTCGATCCATTCGTCTTTAATGGATAGGAATGAGATGGAGTAGGTCAAATTCAATTTTACTACCAGGGTTCGTACGGATCCTGGAAATCCTGGAAAGTCCTGGACATATGTTAAACTGAATAAGGTAATAACGTTTTCCTTAAAACAAATGAGAAAACGTTTTTGAGAATTGTTATTATAACATGTTATACGTCTGTGGTTTTGACCGCATAAATATTTCTTTTCGTGTTTTTTCCCAGTACATAGTCCTTATGCATGCATGATTTCGTAAGTTGGCGATTTATACCTCAGTCGATGGGTGTCTTTAGTTTTAAACATTTTTATTCTGAAATATGCCTGGGAAATGCTCGTTCAGTGACCGTTGGTTGAAAAAATCTTGCTATAATTTGTGGTTGGAACGTGGCATGGACAAGTTTGAAGCAAAATGCAAAATTGTTTGAAGGCATTTGATGTATCAAACATGGCAGAATCGGCGCTGAAAAGCCGCGGAAAGGGAAGAAGCATATTTATCTTATGGAAACACAACAGTCTCCTTTGAAGATCCTGAAGTTGAAGCCCACCGATAAAGAACAGCAGTTAGACTACAAGAAAGTTGAAGTTGGCTTTGTGGCACAACAGGTGCTGAAAGAAAAGTCTGAAAAATTTGTGTGAAATGCAAGTTCTTCAATTCAAAATGGAATGTAAACATTTTCTTGCAAAAACATCTTCTAAATTGCTTAACAAAACAACAATAAATTATCGAGTAGTAAGAAATATGCTAATGGAATTAGGGAAAGAAACGTGTGTCAGCAAAATGAAAAGAGTTCTTGAAATCCTTGTGGAGGCCCCCAGATTGAAGACTAATGAGTGTGATGAGGAGATATATCAGTCTGGACAGTTTATGGATGAATGTGGAGGTAATCCTACCTTTCAAGATTTTGACCCCAGGGAACCCATTTAAAGAGTTGACACACTGTTGTATGAACACATGGCTGGTGATCAGCAACTGGCTAAAGAATCAGTGGAGCGTGGTTAAATTACTGCCACTTACGTCTCATGGTCAATCCATAGTTAATAGAGGGTTTTCTGTAAACAAAGAAGTGGCAGTTGAGAACCTGTCAGAAAGATCGTTTATTGCACAGAGGATTATTCATGGTCACATTGAATCAGTTGGAGGCCTTGACAATGTACAAATCTGAAAGCAACTTCTTATTCGTCTGTTGGAGCTTGACAGAAGTGTCTTTCCTATCTAGAAGAGCAGAAGAGTCAAGTGTGCCAGGAAAAATTGCTTAAAAGAAAGGCAACAATGGATGAAATCGATGTGCTTAAGAAAACGAAATGGTACTTGAAACTGATATAAGGGCTCTTCTGAAGACTGTAAATGAATTTGCTGATAGGGCGGAAGATTCAAGAAACCTTACTTGGGTTGCCAAATCAAACAGTTTGCGAAGATCTGCCATGGAAAAGAGGGCAGCCTTGAAAGGCATTGATGAACAGTTGGATGGACAGCTCCAACAGCTGAAGAATGCTTAACCCTTTCAATCCCAAGATGGGAATACTAATTCTACTTACTATCAACCATGGATTTCTTATGTTACTTCTGAGAATTTAGTGTTATAACATAGCGCGCGTGCTTGCCCTATATAAGTCCTATTGAGCCACTATGAACAAAATCTTTATTTACGCACGCCCGTGCGTAAATAAGATGACGTGAGCATTTTTTTTTATCTGGCTGCAAAGTGCAGTTGTCGTCTTTTAAGCTGCAGTGCAGTTTTCCTTCTCTTTAAAATATGGAACAAACCGGGGAAGAACTGCCCAATTTTTGTATCGGCATTGACCTTTTATGTCCTGATCCAACAAGTAGCAAAAATAAAGCCGAATTTAAAAGAACTCGCAAGTTGCGCGTTTCGCAAATTTGTCGGAAGACCAGCTGCAGCAAATTTTGGCCGAAAGACATTAACTGGGAACAGAACAGACAGCGACTGGTCATCAACAACATTTTTAAAAGGGTAAAATTTCCTTTTTTATTGTTGTTTTTAAATTTGTTACGCACTTTTGTTATCTCCTGACAATCCGACTGAAGCAGGAAAATTTCTCTCGCAATAACAACACAAATTACACAAGAAGACATAAATTTATTACTCACAAAAAACAACTGCTGCCAGGTCTTCTCAAGAAGCCGTAATGACCAGCCAATGCACGTAAATGAATATAAGTTTAAAGAAGGATGACAGTCGTCTTTGCTAAAAACATGTTTTCTGGATTTCGCCGAGCAAAACGTAAATATCTTTTCAGCAAATCCAAACCATACTCCACGACTTCTTACGAACATGTTAGTATTTTAACTTTAGGTGAACTTTAAGACTCTTTTACCTTTGTTTCTGCTTAGTTTCCATTGATCGTTAACGAATAAAGAAGCACATTTTCTTTCTCAGTTTTATAGAAAGAACATTTTCATTTAAACTAGACGATTGTGGCGTGTTCGTAATCAGCCAATAGAACCGTTTGTTATTGTGTAGCGGGTTACGAGAATTTTGCAGTTAATCAAAAAGAAAGCATTTTTGTCAGCTATGTTATAAAAGAATTTTCTCATGCTTTTAGCTGTGCGTATATCGAGTTATGGATGCACTTGGGAAGTTTGGAGAGCACTCAAGAAGCTAGAGTTGCACTCGGCTATCGCCTCGTGCAACTTACGCATCTTTCGAGCTCTCCAAACTTCCCGCGTGCATCCATAACTCGATATACGCACGCTAAGCATGAACAAATTCTTAATTTGATCAATTTGTTGATATTTTATTTTTTTTCTTTATTTTCCTTATTTGTATGTCTGGCAATGCGTTGAAATTGTAAGTAGAAACAAATTATTTGTCACTCCTGAGAATGAAAGGGTTTTCTGAAGCCTAGAAAAGTCCTGGAAAATTGTTTCTGAAAAAGGGTACGAACCCTGTACTATACAGTAACTGTGAATAGGCAATTTTACGGTTATTTCTTCAGTGTCCTGCCCTTTGAATAGAAGCGAGGCTGGAGGTCACCTTTGCCTATCTTTCGCATGTAAATGATCATGCTCATGGCCTGATCACATGAGGATAACACGATTTACCCTTAAAAAGAGGAAGGTCCAGCCTCGCTTCTATTCAAAGACCTGGACAACTAACTGAACGCAAAACTGTAAAATGGCCTATAAATTTAGCTTGTGAATCTTATGTGCATGCGCTGTTTATTCGCTTGGAATAGGTCATTACGCTTAACTGCAAATTTAACAAAAGACAACAAATATCCATAAATTCAATAAGAACACCTGAAACATAAGAACTACTCAGATTCTTCTGTGGCTGAGTTATGCGTTGTAATAGACAATATATTGGTGGTGAATTAAAATCTGAAAAATTGATTGTGCTATTTACCGGGCCTTTGATAAAGCTGAATAAAACTAAAACAATTAATTGGAATAGATATATCAGAAATCTTGCCTAGCTCTTAATCCTCCGTATTTCGTGGGGAGGAAAGTTTTCAGAGCAGAAAATGGCTCTAAACGCGTTTGAATTTACAAAGCAAGCTTAGAATCAACGGATCCACAAGTTTAATGAGTAGGACTTGGTTGGAGGTCTACTTGTATCAGCGTCATATCCAAAGTCATATTCAGTTTGAGTGCCGCTTTCTTCAACAAACGAAGCAGCGTTAGTTTCTGTTATTCCAATCCCGTGATCAGCACGGTTACAGTCCTTTCCTCCTCCACCAATCATCATCACTGATCCATCACCACCACCCCAGTCACACCAGAAGCCGATCTTGTTGTTACTTTGGATGTTGCTGCTGCACTCAGTCTGACCAAACCCGTGTGTTGTCTTGTACTGACCGCCATACTGAACCGTGCAGCTTCCTAGGCACCTGCTACTGGACCAAACCTTGCCATTTCTAAAGTCGCCATAACTTGTTACTTTTGATCGAAGTGTTTGTCCACCCAAACAGTTCCCTGTGGTCTGCAGCAGTGGCGTGTGACTGGAATCATCACTGCGCGTGATCTTAAATTCGCTACCTCTAACCATCCAGAAAGCTGGTGAGATCATATCCGTATTGACTGACGGATCAGTTGTTGTTCCCATGGAAGCATTTTGGTCATACCACCAGAGTCCATCGTCTCGCATCCAGGATTTAACGTCAGCGTTAGAAAATCGGGCAATGAGTGTCCATGACGAGCGTTGGACTGTGACGTCACAATAAACCTGTGTAAAAAAATATCGTGTGTAAAAGAGGCCATGGATTACTCGAAAAATGGTAAATATTAATGCGTATTATAGAACACAATAGGTGTAGTGGCGATCTTCTATCGATAAAGTTCCTATTTAGGACAATTCAAAAGTTTGGAGTTTTCTAGCTATCGATGTTTACGACACTAACAGATAACTACTTTGAGACAACGAGCTGGTTATGCGCAGTAGAGAAAGAAGTTTTTTGATCATTATCCTCCTTGCATACTTATTAGTCACCCCAGAAGAGTAAGCTCTATGGGGAAGACACGTAGATACTTATAGAAGGGGTGAGTGGGGGCAACTCGAACTAAAGTTAGTCAAACTGACAACCGTGAATTATTAATATATGCTTATATACTATGCGCGAAGTCTAATAAATATTAATAAGATATAAATAGCTGCAGAATCTGCTCGTGCGTAGGCATGCTGATTTACGGAACAAGACAAGCATACTGTTTGTAGTGAAACGTGAAACAATGTAATTGGTTCCCTTCCTCTGTCTTCGGCTTTGGCAAATATACTTGATCTGCAGGACAAGTCAGTGTAAAACGATATTCTACCTAGCTTAGTCTAATCATTATTTTCCATTTTGTAAATGCAAGTATTATCTTATACCCTATTAATATAGTATTTATGATTTGTCTGCTCACCTCAAATTTCATAGAGTTAACTTTGAGCTCATATTTCCCACTTGTTGAATATTTTGACATCACAGCATTGCAGGAAGCTATAAATAAAAAGAAAAATGACGAATTACTCTTTTATAACATCTTTTGGACCCAGGTGTAGTTCCAACGGCATTTCTTCTTACGTTCTATATTTTCCAAGGTTAAGGAAAAGTGAAGGAGTTCTGAAGTGGTTAAATAGAATTTATAGAATTTTAAAAATGTATGAGAATCTCACGGTTGTCTTTTCAGTCCTCACTTCATGCTTTTTTGTTCTAGAAAAAAAACTATTAATTACCACCTATCTTTCTCTGAAATCCAAGGGTTGTGGCCACCGTGACTGAACCTAGCTTGTTACTGGCCGTACAAACATACGTCCCAGTGTCTGCAATGTAGAAATCTCGAATGGTCAAAGTTCCATTTCTGATGCTGCTGCGCCTTCTTGGTAAAGACCCCAGAGAACGTGTCCACGTGATTACAGATGGCGGATAACTGAAAGCTTCACAAGTAAGTGAAGCTACAGCTTCCTCAGAAATCGTTCTGGTACTTCTGTCAGGCGCGGACCAACTGTAAATGAGAAGAGAAAGATAAGTTGATTTAAAAATTTAAAATGTAGGTTGAGTTTTATCGTCCGGGTGAACGTATCGAGAACGTAGTCCTGAATAGGACTGTTGTTGTTGACAGTGACTTTGTTTCGGCTTCGGCGATCTGCTCGCCACTGACAAGCCTATCAACAACGATAGTCCCATTCAGGACTACGTTCACCCGGACGATCAAACTCAGCCTACTTTTGAAATGACTCCTGGGTTCAAACCTTTCACAGTTAAAAAATTGGGTTGTCGTAGTGGTTCGTACTTCAGTTGACTTGAACAACATTCCGCATTTTGAACATTTGACTTTTCGTTCAGACATTCTAAATTTTATGCAGAACCTCATTGACTTTTGATTTTGAAATAGGCCAAGAGACAAGAAATAGACCTTTTTACCGATACGGAGGCCATATTGAATTAATTCGATTTAAGGAGTATTATAAGAAGCCCAGGGGGCATGAGCACATTTCGTTTGCATTTTCGAGCGCTTTTCGGGACATGTTTTCGTAAAGTTTTCTTAGAATAAGATTGTAATGGGAAAAAAGATCCTTGTGCCGTGTTTGGATGTAATAATGATCGCCTTTTTCCCGAGAAATATACAGTGAAAGACCATATTTCTAATACTAAACTAGGAAAAGGCGATCATTATTACATCCAAACACGGTACAAGGATCTTTTTTCCCATTACAATCTTATTCTAAGAAAACTTTAAGAAAAAATGTCCCGGAAAGCGCCCAAAAATACAATTGAAATGTGCTCATGCCCCCTGGGCATCCTATAATACTCCTTAAATCGAATTATTTCAATATGGCGGCCGTACCGGTAAAAAGGTTTATTAACACGCTACTCACCTTCAACAATAAGATTTACAATTTTCTCATCTCGTCCAAGTACACTAACTGCAGTACACTTATATTCCCCTGAGTCATTGTAAGTTGAGCGGATTATTTCAAGCGTCCCTTCGTGATTTTTGTAGCTTCTTCTCTGCACTTTATTAAACAAACCTTTCACTTTTGTCCAGGTCACCGTAGGCTTTGGGTTGCCACTGGCCGAGCAGTAAAACGTAGCAGACTGGTTCTCTCTCACTGTTTGTGTGTTAGGTGATACAATCGCTGCCGGAAGAGAAATCGATTCTCCAGGATCTCCCTTCAGTCCTGTCATCCCTCTGGGCCCCACTGCACCTGATGAGGTTATCGCAACATTCAACTTGAAGAGCTTCGCTACAGGACGATATGACTGCTTATTGTTAGTAGTACGCGCTTTGATGGGCTCCGTTGTTTTCTTGAAATGACCAGGCATTACTAGCTAGATGTTTAAGCTATATACAATCTAGGTGCTTAGCTTGACACTGGACATTCTAATGACTATCCATGTTATGGTCAGCTGACAGTTGTCAAAAAGGTGTCCGCAGACCAGTGTCACCTGACTGTAACGCGGGCTCAAAGTGTTTTTTTTTTTTAAGTTATCCGCTAACTAGTTGTTGGTTCTATTTGATCGTTAGCGTCAGGTCCATGATGTATTGACCTCGCTATCGCTCGGTCAATACATCAAGGCCTTGGTCGGAGATTTCCCTATAATGACCGAACGGACGAGGTTAATAAGTAGTATGATTTATTATATGGCTGAATCCGTGGGCGGGCAAGATGAAAATAATTTTGCGTTCTGATTGGCTACCCGAGCCGTGCCCTTTCGGGATTTCCCGCGTTGGTCGCGCAAGAAAAAGTTCTTTTATTTGCCATATAATTCGGTATTAATAAATCCTTTAGTGGCCGAGCGTCAGGTCAAGATGCCTGGCTATTGACCTCGTTCTTTTTTGCGTTTTTATTGTCCTCGAGTACGTCTCGGTTCACACAAACGCAAGAAAACGAACTTAACGTGGCCAATATCCAGCCATCTTGACCTCACGCTAGGTCAATAACGTGTATATATTAAAGGTGAATTTCTACATGAATAGTGATTTTATTGCAGCATGTAAAGGCAATTAAAGACCAAGCTGATTGTACTTGATTACTCGCAATGTTGGAGAACGGACCCTTCACTGAGACCCTGTGATATTTTAAGCCGAGGAAAAGTTTAAAAGCCTTACAACACATAGTATGACTTTAATTATAAAATCTTCCTAAATTTCAAAAATAAATTCGTTATTTCGGTTATAGCAAATTTGTTGGTGTAAAGTACACTCTAGCTGGCCCTTATAGAGAAGCCTGGTAATTATCAGTCTCTAGACTTTGTTTTATAAGTTAGAAAAAGTGTTAAGAAGGTGAATTTAAGCAAGGAGAAAATCCAAATATGTTACAGCTCGCCAGATCAGAAAGGCTTTCAAATACGAGGAGGTCTGTTTTGTTTTTAAGTGTAGACAGCGCTAACCGTGCACAAGTTAAATCAAATTTTTCAATGGTTGTATCGGGAAACTTTTTCATTTTAAAATTCTTCTCTTTGAACACTTTACCTTTCTGTCCTTTCTCTCCTTTTATTCCTGGTTTTCCCATAATTCCTTGTTTGCCATGTCTGCCAGGGGGACCCATAATGCCTTGTGCACCTCTTTTACCCTTGTCACCGGGCCTTCCTCGTCTTCCTCTGGAACCTCTACTTCCTTTTTCACCAGGAGGACCTGGGACGCAGGCATTTTTTGAATGCTGACACCAGGATTCTGGTTTCAGTTGGCCTATTCTTATATTGATTTCACGGCGTACTTCCTCTATTGACAGCGAGCTGTTGCTTGCTGAGTTCATGCTGCGACGAATCCTTGTACTGGCCACCATTTTCTTGGAGTCTAAATGGAGTTGCAATAGAAACACAAAGAAAGTCGGTGGAATAACAGTTTCAGACTCCATAGCATTGTATTCGCTGAAAATTTTAGATTTCTTGGCCAAGACAATCTAATTCAATGCTTAACGTCCTCGCCAGACTTTCATTAGCCTGCCTGTATGTGAGCAAGCTCTCCATCTAGAGAAGTCGCGAGAAGTCACGCGACAGCCGCGCACGCTATAAGGGACACGAATGCCCGTCGCAGCTTCGCTGCTCGCTCCCGCGCGTTTCTCGCGGCTCGCTTCGTTCGCCTGATCGCCTGATCGAAATATGAAAGGAAAGTGTATTCTTTATTAATTTCCCACAGGTATATCCAGATCCAATGATTTCCCTCGTATCCAATTATTGTACTGCTAGAACAATGTTTCCAAGCTAAAAAGGTCTTGAGATTTTTTTTTAAAGTAGCCTAGTATCAAATGACGTTACATAAGTCTGTTTTCTACTTCCTGTTGTTGTGACTCGGTGAGTTCAGTTTTAAAAATACCTACTAATACTCCCTAAATGCAGTAAGCGACTCGAAGGCACTTCGGAAATTCAGGTTACTACAACGCCTGTTTGCCAGTTTCAAACAACAAAGGAGAAATTAATTAAACAATTTTGTTGTCTAAAGCATTGCTGTAGAGGCAGTGTGGAGTGTCTGAGACGCAGGCTATGCGCAAGACCGGTTCAATTCTTTTTAAAAATTAAGGCCATTTAGATTATGGATCTTGGCTCGCGTGATTTGCTTTTGTCTTGATCGCATTCGCTGTATGGCTTTTTTCTCAAAAAATTCCCAGCATTTTTTTGATGCACGTGAGAGTTATTATTTATTTCAGTGGTCAATAAGTCATGTCAACAGAGGCACTACTACTTTGCATTCGCTCACGTATTTTCTGCCTTTTGTTAGCCCGTCAAAATTCTCCTCACTCGTTTCAAGAATGCAAACTTATTACATAGCAGCATTTGTCTAAAAATATTGAAAATATTAAAGAGCCCGATGGCTAGCAAAATGGTTCCCGAATAGTCATCGTGCACAGGCGCATGCAGGCCAGGAGCCCCTAACTAACTTATTACGCTTTCAGGCACTTATTTTTGCTTGGTTCAAGGCAATGTGTCGAAAACTTCATTGTTTTTCTACGATTGGTTGTTTTTGTATTCTGAACTTAAAGGTGCAGAAAATGTAAGACAGATGCATGCCTACCTTGGGTCTGTTTCACATCTTTGTCATCTGTTGCATGGAAGGTCGTCATAATCTTCATTTGGCTTTCAACTTTCGATATTCGCATTCCATTAAGCTCCGTCTTGTTGTTGATTGCCTCCATTCGCAAAAACAACGCAATCGTCAACAACATAGACAAAAAAGGGAAAAGCCAAAAACTTTTAACGAAAGTGTCGCTACGTTGGGACGATAATTTTTGAAAGGATTCCATCTTTATGCATGCAAAGCAACTTTGACTCGACTATGTTCAGAGTAGTAACTTTACACACGATTCCGTTTCAACTTGAAAAAGGTTTATTTATCATCTGGGAATTAAAACAGTCAAACCTTGTTTATACGGACACTGGGGGTCATACATGTCGAAAGTGTCCGTATTAAGCAGGCTGAAATCAAGGGCTATATTCTCAAAGAGACAAAGCAAACTGTCCGTAATGATGAGTTTTCCGTATTAAGCGGGTGTCCGTAAAACGGGGTTTCGCATCTGAGTTAACGGTACTGGGTATTTCTACTGAATTTTAGCGTCTGATTTCGTGACAAATGTTGATCTTGGTGTGATTGGCGGGAATCTGCATTAATCACGTGAAAAGAGCGTGGAGTGGAGAGTAGTACCGTGAGGGGAATGGAGCCCATATTATTTCAGGCTTTCTCCCTTCAGGAGTTCTAATGAGTTTTTTATGACAAATGGAGCCCAAATAATTACTAGGTCCTTGGGCTGCCGGCTAGCCATAAAATCAGTGTTATTCTTAGACAACAAAACAGTCCGTATTTTTGCGTTTTCTGAAGTACGCACGAACAGTCAAACAAAAGCTGAAAATCGCGCCCGAGGCTCTCACGCTGTTCTTACTCTACTCTAAACGGATTTTAAGAAAAAAACCCGACTGTTTTGCAGTCTGTGTTATTCTAAGAAACTATTTTCTAGCTAAAAGTGCAATTTTTAAATTAAAAGTGTTGAGATAATTCTCGGTTCAATAGCTTATATTCAACGTAGAATGGCTCTTATATCAGTACTGAACTATCACACAGCCTACAAAGCCAATACCACCACACCGAGACCCTCCTTGAGACCAGCTATTTCTTGTCCTGTGATAAGAAGTTCACATTCTCTCGTGGCATGTCTGACTTTGGCTGAAGCAAATTTCCCACGCCGCACCACCAATCAGATCGGGGCAGTGGCGCACTGGCGCGTCATGAGTACAGTATGGAATTCCCGCCCTCAGTCAGTTCTCAGACGTCGTCATTTCGTGGACGAACCAGCGGTTCCTCTCTTTTTGGGGAGGAAAAAGACCGCACACACCTTTGCATTGTGAAACCAATGGGTAAGTAATCGAAGAAGAAAAGGTGTCCTACGAACCCGCCAACTGTGCGATGTCGACCCGATGTTTTGATTGCGAATAATAAACAAAACGAAGAACTTAATTAGCAGATGCAATGACTGCTCGATGGGTGGCCAATGTTCTGGTCGTACGACCAAGTGCTGCCGTCACTGAAACCAAACCGAACTGAGCAAACACATATTAGATTTATGAACAAAAAAAGGTCTCATAGCTGACTGAGTCAGTTTTCTAACTCCAAAAAACATGTTTCTTGTAGCTCTTCTCCTGTTTTACGTAACCCGTTATGTCGTCGCGACTCGTCAGACAGTTTGTACATACTTAACCTTTCCTAAACTGTCAGATCCTGAAATGTTATATACTTGTCTAAATTTTTAATCAAGATTTGTATGTCACGTTGGTTTCTATTAAAGTGTTCCTGAGTAGGTAAAAAAAAAACAGGCATGAATTTCCTGACGACCCATGTTAATCAACGAATCCATTCGTCTTTAATGGGTAGGAATGAGATGGAGTAAATCAAACTCAATTTCAGTACAGTAACTGTTAATAGGCCCTTTCAGTGTCCTGCTCTTTCAATAGAAGCGAGGCTGGAGGTCACCTTTGCCTATTTTCCGCATGAAAATGATCATGCCCTGATCGCATGAGGATAACAAGATTTGCCTTTAAAAAGAGGAAGGTCCAGCCTAGCTTCTATTCAAAGACCAAGACAACTGAACACAAAACTGTAAAATGGCCTATAGATTTAGCTTGTGAATCTTCTGTGCATCCGCCATTTAGTCGCTTGAAAGGGGTCATTACGCTTAACTGCAAATTTAAAAATAGACAACAAAAATCCATAAATTCAATAAGAACACCTGAAACATAAGAACTGCTCAGATTCTTCAGTGGCTGAGTTGTGAGTTGTCATGGACAAGTTACTGGTGTTGAATTAAAATCTTAAAAACTGATTGTTCTATTTACCGGGCCTTTGATGAAGCTGAATAAAACTAAAACAATTAATTGGAATAGATATATCAGAAATCTTTCCTAGCTTTTAATCCTCCTTATTTCGTGGGGAGGAAAGTTTTCAGAGCCGAAAATAGCGCTGTGTTTGAATTTGCAAAGCAAGCTTATAATCAACGGATCCACAAGTTCAGTGAGTAGGACTGGGTTGGAGCATTCCCCGTACTAGCGTCATATCCAAAGTCATATTCAGTTTCACTGGTGCCAAGTTCAACAAAAGAAGCATCCCCTGTTTCTGTTATTCCAACTCCATGATCAGCACGGTTACAGTCCTTTCCTCCTCCACCAGTCATCATCACCGGTCCATCACCACCATCCCAGTCACACCAGAAGCCGATCTTGTTGCTACTTTGGATGTTGCTACCTTGGATGTTGATACTACACTCAGCCATATTGAACCGTGCAGCTTCCCAGGCACCTGCCACTGGACCAAAGCTTGCCATTTCTAAAGTTGCCATAACTTGTGATTTTTGATCGAAATGTTTGTCCACCCAAACAGTTCCCTGTGGTCTGCAACAGTGGCGTGTGACTGATGTCATCACTGCCTGTAATCTTAAGTTCTCTACCGCTGACCAACCAAAAAGCTGGTGAGATCATGTCAGTATTGACTGAAGGATCAGTTGTTGTTCCCATGGCAACGTTTCGGTCATACCACCAGAGTCCATCATCTCGCATCCAGGTCTTGTTATCGAAGTTGGAAAATCGGGCGATAAGAGTCCACGGTGAGCCTTGAGCTGGGACGGCACAGTACACCTGCGTGTGTAATGATAACCGTGTTAGGTAGAAGAAAAAATGCTAAAACTCCTGTGACTTGAACTCCTTGTCAACTCAAATTAAAAAAATCTTATTTTCGAATCGACACCATTTTTTCAGTCATGTACTATAATAATTTAACAGTTATTGAATGAAACAGTAAATCTCTGATAATGACAAACTAAAGGGCGCTTTCCATTTGTCAGCCGGTAAGACCACCATTCCCGTCGCAAATAGAATTTCACTTTTAATCAATACTATCAAGCCAGATCGGTCAAATCCTAAATAGCTAGTATGCACGAAGGAGATGGTTTTCAAAAGCTTTTGGAAAAAGCCTGTTTCATTTTCAAACTACTGGCTGGTCCGTCACGGTCCGACCAACCAGTACTGACAGATGGAAAGCGATCTAATCGACCCTTTTTTTACGTATCCAGGAGCAGTATGGAACAATTTCTATTGTTTAATTAAAATCTGATTGATTATATAAAGAAAAAGGTATCTAAATCCTTAGGTACGCCATCCAGAGTGAGGCCAATAAGAACATTAAAATGGCTTAAAATGTTCTTCTTTCTTTATATAACGGGTACAACGATTGAGCTTACCTCAAAATGTAAGGAGTTCAATACCAGTCCATAGGTTCCACTTGTTGAATGTTTTGAAACAACAGATTTACAGGAAGCTTAAAGCGAATCGAAGCAAATTAAATACAATCAGGTGAAAGTTACATTTTGGCACCAGATATGAATTTTGAAACTCTCAAGTCTTAAAAACCATTTTGCAACCCCTGATAGTCTTTCTTAGTGAGAGATCGGAGGATCAAGATGCACGAAGACTTAAATTGTAGCACTCTCACCGGTACAAGAGGGTGTGAATGGGGTTAACCGACTAGCGACAAAGGGCGAAAAATATTACTGACTACCGACCAAACGATTAAAAATTTACCGACTACCGACAAGAAAAATATTAACCAACTACCGACATGGGCTGACATTATCAATATTTGTTTTCAGAAAAAAGAGCATTTTGCATTTTTTTCTGGCCGTTAGGAAGTAACCTCTTTTAATTTATGGCTCATCAGATGGTCTACAGAAAGAACTTCCTCTTTTGTTGATACAGGTACATTACTACAACCAATACCATAATTACAGAAGCCACACCTTAAAGATGCTACCAACTTCATAAATTTTATTAAAAAGACAAAGGTGAAAAAACTGAACGTTTCTTGTTTCGGTCCGAGAAATGCTTAGATTAGTCCTCAAAGAAAATTCTTTCCAGTTTAATGGAAAGCACTATCAGTAAAAACCCACGATACCGCGATGAGCACACACAGCAGTTTCCTTTCCAAATTTTCATGGCCGCATACATTGAACCACAAAGTTTAAGCAAAACCGTCTTCAAACCAACTGTTTGAAAACGCTACATAAATGACATTATTCCCCGTGGGACAAAAGTAAACTAGACATCGTAGATTTCTTCAAGTTCACGGAACGAGTAAACTTACACATCACCCTACTATGAAATTCACAGCCGAAATATCTGACACTGAGACAATCTTTTTAGACACGGTTGTATACCAAGGCACAACATTCAACGAAAAATGAGAAAAAGCTATCATTGACGCAAAGACTCATTTAAAAGGAAATCTTCCAGTATATACATTTTCACAGAGGCTGGCCACACAATTTTGAAAGAAAAATTGCTATTAGAAGTAACACTCACTGAAGGAAAGCAGCGCTCCTGAAACAAAACAACAAGGAAGAAAAGAAGCTTTAATGAAAAAGTGCAATCACAAACAAAACCAGCCACTACCTTGCCAAATTTTGAAAGAAACACTTAACCCTCGGACGTACACGCAAAATCATAGCCCCACCATGGTACAAGAGGGGGGAGGGGGTAGATGGAACCCCTCCCCAGAGTTTTTGGTATGTTGCAGTATTTCGAAACGATTTTGCCTTCACTGGAAAGCCTTTGATCTTCTTAACAAGATGAGGTATATTTTATTAATGGTGGCGCTGCTGGAGACGTGTGACGTCATCAACAATGGTCGCCATGTTGAATTTTACCAGAAATGGTAACTGCTTCACATGAATAATAACACATAAATAAGCACTTTGCATTATTTGAGCCACAAGATTTACTTTTATTGTTGAAAAAAGTTGAAAAAAAAACACATTTTCACTCAAAATGGCTTGACCAGCTGCTGCTTATTACGTCATACCTCGTAACCATAGAAACTGATCATCACTGAACTTGTCTCAAAATGCGTGCGAGGGATAAACGAACAGTCACTGAAAACGTCAGGTGCTGATGTTTTATCCTCTTGGAAAAATCCCAGAAAAACCTAAGTGTTATTTCTCTGAGAAAGGAAAATTATGGCAAAGGACATGCTTGTTAGAGCCAAAAACATTAAAGGTATAGATGTGAAGCCTGTCACCCCATGCAGTTTTTCAGTAAGAATAATTTAAGTATCCAAAAGGCTGGAGTCCATTAATCAATTAATTACTTTTTACTGTGCCCTGTAGTCGACAGGGAAACCAAGTTCGCGTTTAGAATAAAAGCTTTGATAATTTTATCAGTACTCATGATATTCATTTGGCAAACAATGGTGAAATAAACGATCATGTTGCATAAACAAACAAGAGTTAATGAAGTTTAAGTGCAATCAAATGATGCATTCTTACAAGTTTTACTCTTTCCTTAGCGATCAAAGTCTTGAAACTGGGTGAAATACATAAAAAATCTTTATAATTAACAAGCGCTTTTACTTATTAACTGAGATGTCCTGACAACCGACAAAGATGAAAATGAATTCGGACATGGAATTCAGGGAAATGAAGATATCCTAATTACGGGTTGGGGATTTGAGGCTCTTTTGTTGACCCTGTGATATTGAGTCGGAGTCGTAATCAGAAGAGAAGAGCTTTACGATCTAGTGAAAACAGCGTTCTGATTCCGCTTACGACTCCGTCGCTTACGATCAAGTGAAAACTAGGTTGTTGGAGTCGGAAGAAGACGCGAACTAAACCAGTCATTAAACGTGGGAACGTACATTGTGATTAGTTTATCCTTCCTCTTCTGCTTGCTACTCCGATAATCTGGTTTTCACTTGATCGTAAACGACGGGGTCATAAGCGGAGTCAAAAGAAAATGTAAACGTTCTGATTCTTCCGGCGCCGATTCCGTCGCGCTTATGACTCAACTTATGACTCCTGAGTTTTTGATTTTCATTAAGTCATAAGCGCCCTTGCGACTCCGCTTACGACTCCGACTCCGACTCCGACTCCGAAGCTAATTAAAACCAGCCTTTAAGGCCAGAAAAGCCAAAAAAGAGTTACAGCTTGGTAGGAGGATTTATTAAAGAAAGGAGAAAATTCAGTAACAATATATTATATTGCAATTCCTACCATTAATTCAGGAACATCTGTTAACCTGAACTTCAAGGACGCTAGGATGGCTAGCCGAAATATTCGGAATCCAATCCACGTTGTTATAATCTGCTTTGCTGTAGTCTTTGGACTTCTCGTTTTTTGTTCTTAAAGGGAACCTCCACTTCAACAAAAAGATAACTTTAAATCACAGGAAATAACTGTTACAGTCAAGTCAATCTAAAATATTTTTAAAGAAAGCGTTTGTATCCGAAAGAAATAACTTTTAGATTCGCCTATTTTTGTTTTCAAATTTTGCGGGCGTCGCCATCTTGAATAATTGTGACGTGTTATGGTTGCCCTATTGTTATTAAACAAAAGCTCTTTGTGTCAGAACAATAGAGCAACCGTAACACGTCACAATTATTCAAGATGGCGGCGCCCGCGAAATTTGAAAGTGAAAATAACCGATTTTAAAATTCACTTTTCCTAGCAATAAAAGGGGGTGGTAGGCCTACACGACTTTTACCTCATGCCAAAATGCTGCTTATTCCAATGAAGTTGTTTTTATCTGCTGGGTAGATTATGCTCTGGAAGGTTCTGCATTTTACTGAGCAAATGTGGTTTTAGCCGCATGTCTCACACTGAGAGGTCATGACATATATATCGATTGACTGTAGTTATTGTTTTCTGGTCGGCAGGATTTGCCCTGTGATGCAAGCGCATATTCTTTGACCTCTTTTGAAGCGTAAAGCTTTTTTTATTACGGCTGAATAAGGGTTCCAATTTTCTCCAAAGTGCCTTCTGGATCTGATCTAAGCGATTTTCTTTAGTCCGTGAGTGTAATGTTTTTCTGCAATGCTGTATCACGCTGGGCCCAGCTCGTCAGTTTTCTTTGCAGAATGTTAAATTATCACGGATAGTGACTTACAGATCCAAAATTATAAGAGTGAGCTGCAGCTTAAACTGAAGCTACATAAACTTACTATGGAGAATTGAATTGTGACTCAGTAAACTCCAGCTTAGTGTTTTTCTAAAGATAGTGTGAGTCTTTTGACTGGAGCGCGTAGTTCCTTCCTTGGTAATAGCTTTGAATAAGCTTAACAGTCTTTAAACTGTTTTGTTATTGCCACAGTTTGTGATCAGGCAAGACCATGGTTTCGGTTCTCCTCACGAACCTCATCAGTTGCCGGGTTGGCTTTGTGCTTAGTTGCTTTTAGAAGAGCAACTTTAGTTGTACTTTGTCGTGGCGAGAACGGTACAGCCGTTCTGTCTGTTGAGCTTTGAACTGAACATAAATACCCACGTGGCGGATCGAAATTCTTGTTTTCTTATTGGCTACTGAACGTAACCAATTGCGGACTGTGTATTTCGATCCTCCTCTGCTTCAAGCTAGAGGTGTGTTTTTTTGGAAAGCATTTCGTGAAAATTTAGGCACTTTCTTTCGTGGAAGAGTTCGAAGACTCTTGTAAATAGATGCGCACAGAGTTTCCGTACACTCCCTCTAAAAACTGGAGTGGATACGTTTCTTGTTAGTTGCGCAATGTTGAACTTTCTACTCTGTGCTTGGTTCTTATTAGTGCCAGTGTTGATTTTCATAAGGTAAAACGGGGCCTACCCGTAAACAAATCATAGCAATAAAAGGGGGTGGTAGGCCTACACGACTTTTACCTCATGCCAAAATGCTGCTTATTCCAATGAAGTTGTTTTTATCTGCTGGGTAGATTATGCTCTGGAAGGTTCTGCATTTTACTGAGCAAATGTGGTTTTAGCCGCATGTCTCACACTGAGAGGTCATGACATTGTAAAATGGGGTTGACAGGCCTACACGACTCCCCAGCGCGTGTTTAAAATAGCCTTTCTATAGTTTGGCTCTCACGAGTATGTCTTTGAGCGACCGCCCTCTTTTATAAGATACGAGGGGCGGTTTTTTGTAGATTTCGCTCAGTAATGGTTGTTGTTCTATTAAATGCCAGTTTTTCATGAGAATTTGCTTTAGGTTTGGCACTGATGGTTGGTATTGTGTGACAAAAGGCAAGATTCGTTGGTTTGTCTTTGGTTTCTGTTGAAGGGCTAGTTTCCTGTCTTTGAAGTTCACCTCTGAGAGGGTTGTGTTAATAAGATCCTCTGGGTAACCCCTCTGTAGCAGATGCGCTTTGAAATTTGTAATTTTCTCTTCGAATATTAGTTCGGAAGAGTTTGTTCTGAGGAGTCGGAGGGCTTCCCCTTTAATGAAGCCTTTTTTAACTCCTTGCGGGTGACAGGAAGCAAAATGGGTATACTGAAATGTCTCAGTTGGTTTGAAATGAGTACGCACATCAAGGATTGCGTCTCTTTCGAATCTTTCCCCTTTGTAGATGTAGGTGTCCAGGAATGTTGTTTCCTTATCGGAAATTTCAGCCGTAAATTTGATCGTAGGGTGATGATTGTTTGCTTGTTCAATGAAATGTTTTATTCTGGCTCTGTTTGTAGTCCAGAGCGAGAAGATGTCGTCTATATAACGTTTCCAAACGAGCGGTTTGAAAAGGCTTCGGCTAAGGATTTCCGTCTCTACCTTGTTCATGAATATATTAGAAAAGGCGACTGCCATTTTCGTGCCCATGGCCGTACCATGTGTTTGAAGGTAGTTTTTTCCATTAAACTGGAAAGAGTTCTCTTGGAGAATTAGCCTTAGCGCTCGTTTTAGTAGTTGTGTAGGGATAGGAGGTTCGTTTCTATAGAATATTTCGTATGCTCTGCATACCGTGTCTATTCCCTCCTCTTGCGGTATATTTGTATACAAGCTCGTAACGTCCATTGAAACAAGTATGACGTCCACTGGGACTTTCGTATTTTCTATGAAATTGACGAAGTCGGTAGTATCTTTAAGATAAGACTTTTGTTGTTGTGCTATCGGCTGAAGGAGTTTGTCGACAAATGATGATAATTTCTCTGTTGGGCCATCACACCCTGATACTATCGGTCTGCCGACCGGGGACGGCTTGTGTATCTTAGTGAGGGTGTAAAATTCTGGAATTCGAGGCGGATTTGGTGTTTGACAAAGCCATTTTTTAGTCATGTCGTCTATGTGATCCCCGTTGTGGAGGTCTGTAATAAGTTGTTTAACTTTATGGTTTGTATCAGTGACCATGGGTGATGCAAGAGGCCTGTAGTTGTCTTTGTTGTCTAGTAGAATTTGGCCTTCTTTAATTTTGTCTTGTGTGTTCATGACTACGGTTGTTGTTCCTTTATCGGCCTTTTTAAGGTTTATTTCAGTGTCACTTTTAGGGCTCTCAGAGCCTCACGTTCGGCCGGAGGCAGATTATTTTTGGCTTTGTTATTTCTATTTCTGCAAGGTCGCTCTTAACCTCTTCTAGGTAACTTTCAAGGGCTACTGATCGTTGTATTGATGGTTCCCATGCAGATTTGACATGGTAAGGATGGGGTTCGTTGTTTTCCCTCGAAATATGTACATGAGACGCATTCTTCTTGCAAACTGATCAAAGTCACGCAAGAGTTGTTGCCTGATTTGTGTTTGTTTTGTAACGGGTGTTGGAATGAATTTAAGCCCTTTTGCCAGTAAATTAATCTGGTCATTTGTAAGTTCTTTGTTTGAGAGGTTTTTTATGTGTTTTTTGTTCGCCTCTATAGTGATAGTTGAATGTTTCTGGCGTCTGACCTTTCTGCGCTCTTTGCGCTTATTGGTTGCTAGCCGTTTGGCTTTTAAAATTTGTTTTTTGGCCCCATGTTTGTGGTGGGAGTCAGAGAATACACATGTGTACTTTTGAACTTCTTTATTTTCAATGGCTCCTAGTTGTTGCATCATATTGCCGAACTGGGCGATTTGTGCCTGGAGGTTAACAGCAATTTGCTTTACTGATTCGATCGTTACATTGTTTTCAGCTTGCGCTGCGCGCGCTGGTTCGATCGTACTACAGTTCTTAGTGTTCAGTGGTATAGCCGGTGTGGCTCGCTTTCCTTTCTTGGCTTTGTCAAACACCAAATCCGCCTCGAATTCCAGAATTTTACACCCTCACTAAGATACACAAGCCGTCCCCGGTAGGCAGACCGATAGTATCAGGGTGTGATGGCCCAACAGAGAAATTATCATCATTTGTCGACAAACTCCTTCAGCCGATAGCACAACAACAAAAGTCTTATCTTAAAGATACTACCGACTTCGTCAATTTCATAGAAAATACGAAAGTCCCAGTGGACGTCATACTTGTTTCAATGGACGTTACGAGCTTGTATACAAATATACCGCAAGAGGAGGGAATAGACACGGTATGCAGAGCATACGAAATATTCTATAGAAACGAACCTCCTATCCCTACACAACTACTAAAACGAGCGCTCAGGCTAATTCTCCAAGAAAACTCTTTCCAGTTTAATGGAAAAAACTACCTTCAAACACATGGTACGGCCATGGGCACGAAAATGGCAGTCGCCTTTTCTAATATATTCATGAACAAGGTAGAGACGGAAATCCTTAGCCGAAGCCTTTTCAAACCGCTCGTTTGGAAACGTTACATAGACGACATCTTCTCGCTCTGGACTACAAACAGAGCCAGAATAAAACATTTCATTGAACAAGCAAACAATCATCACCCTACGATCAAATTTACGGCTGAAATTTCCGATACGGAAACAACATTCTTGGACACCTACATCTACAAGGGGAAAGATTCGAAAGAGACGCAATCCTTGATGTGCGTACTCATTTCAAACCAACTGAGACATTTCAGTATGCCCATTTTGCTTCCTGTCACCCGCAAGGAGTTAAAAAGGCTTCATTAAAGGGAAGCCCTCCGACTCCTCAGAACAAACTCTTCCGAACTAATATTCGAAGAGAAAATTACAAATTTCAAAGCGCATCTGCTACAGAGGGGTTACCCAGAGGATCTTATTAACACAACCCTCTCAGAGGTGAACTTCAAAGACAGGAAACTAGCCCTTCAACAGAAACCAAAGACAAACCAACGAATCTTGCCTTTTGTCACACAATACCAACCATCAGTGCCAAACCTAAAGCAAATTCTCATGAAAAACTGGCATTTAATAGAACAACAACCATTACTGAGCGAAATCTACAAAAAACCGCCCCTCGTATCTTATAAAAGAGGGCGGTCGCTCAAAGACATACTCGTGAGAGCCAAACTATAGAAAGGCTATTTTAAACACGCGCTGGGGAGTCGTGTAGGCCTGTCAACCCCATTTTACAAAAATTCAGTAACAATATATTATATTGCAATTCCTACCATTAATTCAGGAACATCTGTTAACCTGAACTTCAAGGACGCTAGGATGGCTAGCCGAAATATTCGGAATCCAATCCACGTTGTTATAATCTGCTTTGCTGTAGTCTTTGGACTTCTCGTTTTTTGTTCTTAAAGGGAACCTCCACTTCAACAAAAAGATAACTTTAAATCACAGGAAATAACTGTTACAGTCAAGTCAATCTAAAATATTTTTAAAGAAAGCGTTTGTATCCGAAAGAAATAACTTTTAGATTCGCCTATTTTTGTTTTCAAATTTTGCGGGCGTCGCCATCTTGAATAATTGTGACGTGTTATGGTTGCCCTATTGTTATTAAACAAAAGCTCTTTGTGTCAGAACAATAGAGCAACCGTAACACGTCACAATTATTCAAGATGGCGGCGCCCGCGAAATTTGAAAGTGAAAATAACCGATTTTAAAATTCACTTTTCCTGATATAAACACTTTTTTTAAGGACAAATTTCGAACAAATTTGTTTATCAACATAATTTTATTCGATTTAAACTTATTCTGTAGTAAGAGTGGAGGTTCCCTTTAATATTTTAGCTGATTTAATCTCTTTTCTTGAGATCCAACGTTGACAACCAGCAGGATCTTCTTTCAAAGGCTTTTGCAGTTATTTTCTTCATTAGTAAAAATATGCTAAGCTCTCGAGATCAGGCAGGCTTTCAGTTTCGCTGGAGTCTTTTTTTTTTTAATGTATATGTAGACAGCGCTAACCTAGGCTCAGTCTCCAGCAGTGGGTGTCTCGATGCGCCCGCGGAACTATTTATTTAGTGGTTAGTTCTGTGGGTACATTGAGACACCCACGGCTGGAGACTGAGCCTAGGGCTTCACGTGCTCTGATTGAATAAAACTGGTCAATGTTTTTGATTGGAAACTTTTTAATAATTTTAAAGTTCTTATATTTCAACACTTTACCTTTCTGTCCTTTCGCTCCTTTTATTCCTGGATTTCCCATAATTCCTTGTTTGCCATGTCTGCCAGGGGGACCCATAATGCCTTGTGCACCTTTCTTACCCTTGTCACCAGGCCTTCCTCGTCTTCCTCTGGAACCTCTACTTCCTTTTTCACCAGGAGGACCTGAGACGCAGACTTTTTTTGAATGCTGACACCAGGATTCTGGTTTCAGTTGGCTTATTCTTATATTGATTTCACGGCGTACTTCCTCTATTGACAGCGAGCTGTTGCTTGCTGAGTTCATGCTGCGACGAATCCTTGTACTGGCCAGCATTTTCTTGGAGTCTAACAGGAGTTGCAATAGAAACACAAAGAAAGTCGGTGGAATAACAGGTTCGGAGTCCATAGCATTGTGTTAGCTGAAAATTTTACATTTCTTGGCCAAGGCGATCTAATTCAATGCTAAACGACCTTGTCAGACTTTCATTAGCCTGCCTGTATGTGAGCAAGCTCTCCATCTGGGGGAGTCGCGAGAAGTCACGCGACAGCCGCGCACGCGATAAGGGACACGAGTGTCCCTCGCAGCTTCCCGCTCGCTCCCGCGCGTCTCTCGCGGCTCGCTTCGTTCGCCTGCTCGCAGGCTTGTGTTTCATTTAAAAACATCATCAGATAGGGAAAGACAATTTAAAAGTAACGGACGGCAAAGCGAATCATTTAGTACGAAATTTGAAAGGAAAGTGAATTCTTTATTAATTTCACACAGGTATATCCAGATCGAATGATTTCCCCCTTATCCAATTACTGTACTGCTAGAACAATGTTTCCTGGCTGAAAAGGTCTTGAGATTTTTTTTTAAAGTAGCCTAGTATCAAATGACGTTACATAAGTTTGTTTTCTACTTCCTGTTGTTGTGCCTCGATGAGTTCAGTTTTAAAACAGTACCTACTAATACTCCCTAAATACAGTAAGCGACTCGAAGGCACGTCGGAGATTCAGGTCACTACAACGCCTGCTTTACCAGTTTCAAGCAACAAAGGAGAAATTAATTAAACAATAAAATTATTTTGTTGTCTAAACCATTGCTATAGAGGCAGTGTGGAGTGTCTGAGACACTATGCGAAAGACCGGTTCAATTCTTTTTAAAAATTAAGGCCATTTAGATTATGGATCTTGTCTCGCGTGATTTGCTTTTGTCTTGACCGCATTCGCTGTATGGCTTTTTTCTCAAAAAATTCTCAGCATTTTTTTTAAGTAAGTGAGAGACATGCATTAGTTATTTCAGGGGTCAATAAGTCATGTCAACAGAAGAACTACTACTTTGCACTCGTTTCTCAGACGTCATTTCGTGGAGAAACCAGCGGTGGCGTGGCAAAATATCGGCTGTTTCCTGAAGCTGACAAATGTTGGCTAGTTTCATTATCTATTTTGAAAGTTGGGATGTTTGTTACGTTTGTTTATAGTATCAAAGATAATCCGGCTAAAAATATATGGAATTGACTTGGGCCTTGCTGTCAGTCAGCGGATCCATAAGTTTAATGAGTAGGATTGGGATGGTGTCGGATGGTATGATGGACGAGCGGTATTTCCAAAGTCATATTTATATTTAATTCCGGGACCTCTCCTTGGCTGAGTTATTCCAATCCCGTGATCAGCATGTGCACAGTTTCGACCTCCTCCACCAATCATCATGATAGATACTGGACCAGGCTTTCTGGAACTACACCAGAAGCCGACATTGTTGCTGCTTTGGATGTCGCTACTGCATCCAGCCTGTCCAAATCCGTCTGTTGTCTTGTACTGACCGCCATATTCAACCTTGCAGCTTCCTAGGCAATTGGGTTTGTACCAATTTTTGCCATACCTAAAGTCGCCATAACTTGTGATTTTTGATCGAAATGTTTGTCCACCCAAACAGCTCCCTGTGGTCTGCAACAGTGGCGTGTGAGTGGCATCATCACTGCGCGTGATCCTAAACTCGCTGCCGCTGACCAACCAGAAAGCTGGTGAGATCATGTCCGTATTCTTTGAAGGATCACTTGTTGTTCCTATGGTAACGTTTTGGTCATACCACCAAAGTCTATCATCATTTATCCAGGACACGTTATCAAAGTTAGAAAATCTTGCAATAAGAGTCCATGGTTTACCTTTGGGTGTGACGTCACAATAGACCTGCAGATAAAGAGTTAATTTTTATCTATTAATTTTTTTTCGGGGCGTATTCCCTACAATGGCCTATACGGAGAGGCCCCTCCTCCGGTAAGGGGTACCTATTACAGGCCTCAAGGTGGGGAATCTGTCATTTCCGGTTGATGACAGGCCCAATGAGGAAAGAAATGTATTTTATCGTTGTGAGACAGTCAGGGAAACTTTCTGGTTTTGTGATTTATCATTTAAAATACAGTGCCTGAACAAAAGTTAAAAGGGATGCAAAGTTGTAAAAATTGGTCTGTGAAAAGGGGTACCATTTGTCATTATAAGGTATATGAAAGGGGGACCTTTTCTGTCAAAAATGGTGCGAGTATAAAGGGAAAGGGGCTGGACCTCTGGGTGGAGCCTCCACGTATAAAACTTTATTGAGTACCCCCCGGTTTTTTTTCCCTAGGAAATAATCTTTTGATGTGAAAGCAGACCTGAATTGTGTACTGAAATATCTAGGCTGTCTGTGTCACGTGGTCAAGATGCACCATCTCTTTATGTACGCTTGAAAGAGTTTGCTTACGCACTCAAAATCATAGATTTAACACTGAGAACCACACTGATCGGTAATCATGAAAAAGTCAATAGCCTCTAATAAAGCTTACCTCAAATTGTAGCGATTTCACTTTTAGCTGGTATATTCCATCTGTTGTAATAGCTTCACATGACGAGTGTTGAACTGAACAAAAATAATAAAACACTTTTGGAAAAAGATTGGAATGCACCGCAATGTCATAGGTTGCTCACTGTTTATATTATCAGTATTATGTTAGCCTCGATCTTTGCCAACTTTTGTGATATAGTTACTTTCTAAGCTCAATCGAGGTCAGCGAAACCTGGGTTGCATGGGCCGGTTTCTTTAAGGTTGGAAGGGAAATTTCTCAAGTAATATCTCGCGCGCAAAGGGAGAAAAGGACTTCCCCTCGCGCGGCTTTTAAAAAAGCTAATAATAACCGTTTGCAAGATCGATTTTTCTGTTGCAGCTAATTCAGAGATAAATGTGTGAAATATAATGACATGTCTTTAGCAAATCTTTATAGTTGTCACGTCCTCTGTGATTGAAGCGAAATTTTAATGATGTAGCAGAGTTTTTTGGTCGCAAAAGAGCTAAACTTATAATAAAGACTATTAGCTTTTAAGAATATATAGGACAAAAGGGAACCTTTAAACTGAAACTTTTAAAACAGGAACCTAAGACAACTGACATGAAACAATCACTGTACAACAACAACAAACTAAAAACATAGGCACGTTTTACGTGCATGAGCTATTTTGAATGCTTCAGTGTAACAGTATCGGCAATCTACTCTTTTAATCCTAGATAAACTGCTATGTTTTGTGCGAAATTGGGTATATAATAGCGGCACATTAAAGAAAACGAGAACCGCTGCGCATAGCTGAATCGATCCACATACTACAGATTCACTTTTCTGTCTTTCCTTCAGACTTCTGGTGCGAAATAAACAAATTGTTAAAGTACTATGAATATCAACTCACCAAACGTTGCTTTAATAGAGGGAAGACTCGAATGTTTCAAGGTTTCTTCATGGTTTCTTAAAATAATGAAGCTCATCGAATACCGAAAAGCTAAGAAATGCCACAATTTTCATCATTGTTGTAGATGGTTGAATCATCATTATTCAAGAGATTGTCACGTGCGATTGGACTTTAATTGAACAGTCTTTGAGTCTGACGACTTAATTCTAAAAGTGTTGTAAGTTATTGCTTGTTAAAAGAAAAGAACCTTCGCTTAGGCACCAGTTACAAAGCTAAAGATCTCTTTATACGTTCAAGTTTACTATCATTACTGTGAGAAGCCAGCATGAAATGTAGAATCACACAGTTTGCACGTGAAAGTGTCGGACTTTGCCCCCTTTCGTGGCTCGTACTTGAGGCAATTCGAGTTATCACGCAGTAATTCAGCAAACAGGATTATAAAAATAACTCAAGCACACAATTTACACGTGAGGGTGTTGGACTTTATCCCTTTCAATTTTACAATTCGTACGTACAATAACGCAAATTGTTTACTTCAAAATTTGCTCAAACGATTTTAAGAAATCTTCTCGGCTTTACAATATCTGCAATTAAATAATGCTTTACGCAACGTTAAGGTTGATTTTCCTTCCAAGAAAATTGTCAAACTGCCGAAATACATTCAGTTCTACTCATATCGTGTTATTCCACTCAATAGAACAATTTATAAAATAACTAAGATAGTACGTGCGCTCTGATTGGCCGAGAGGAGTGTTTGCAAGAGAGTATGTAAACATGGTTGTGGCGTCAAGATGTTTTGCTTTTCGCGCGCTAATCACGCAAGCACACATTTGAAAAAGTTTTCAAGCTCAACGACAAGTTTACTTTACTTACCCATTCCCTCGTCGGGTCAAACTTGGAAAATCGTTCCAAAGGAGGTGTGTCAATTTTTTTTTTCGCTTAAGCTGACATTTTAAGCGAAAAAAATCCGTATTTTGGAAAGCATCTTTTTGCAAAACAAGAACTGACTACTAGTGCATAAGACTTTGCGACTGGTAAGAATTTCTCTTTTAATCAGGACCGTAACAAACAGTTTGCGTTTTTTCTCGGGAGAGTTATTTTTAAAAGCAATAGAACACTTTTTGCCTGTGGTTTAAATAGCCTGATATAAACACTCGAGGGATTGGGAGAATTCTCGACAGTTATGCAAACCCTCGACTTCGTCTCGGGTTTGCATATTTGTCTCGAATTCTCCCAACCCCTCTCGTGTTTACATCAGGCTATGCAAACAAATGTAATTATTTTGTCAGCCAGCTTCTTCTTATTTAATTCCCTGACGTTACTGTATCTACTTAAATTACGCAACTTTACTAAATAAATTACTTTTCAATAACTATAATGACTCTTAAGGAGCAAGCTTGTTTCACGTTGTTCACCTAATTCATGGTTTTTTTCCCGGTACGAAAAAGGTCTGTTGAACTTTGTAACCGAGAGAAAAAAGGATTAACGATACTCGCCCTGCCTTTCAAACTTCTAAAACGACAATTTATCTAAATTTCCCTATCTAAATTTCAATTATCGTTTCATTGGAGGAACTTTGAAAAATATATGATCTTTTACACTCAACCTTTAAGCAGGTGAAACAGAACTCATACATTATGACATACGTGCGTTGTGCCGTTCGTGTTAGCCGAATTAGGCCAGAAATGTCTTGAAGCAGCACCCGCACTAAAATATGGACCCTTCAACAGCTCCATCACTGTACTCAGCGTTTGAATCATAAGGATATTTCAATGATATGCTTCTAAACACCTTTAGCCGTAATAAAAGGCGAAAAAATTGTGAAGAATCAAGATGGCGGTCTCAAAGTGCCCTTGTTTGACCTTAAGCCGGGTGAATGTCATGTTAGATGCCAAAACCTCATTGGTTCCTACTCTTCAACTCATAGTACCTCAACCTTGTTGGCTCCTGCAATAGAAATCCGAACACACAAAGCCACAAAGATACATACGCTCAAACCACTGACATATGAGCTATTTTGAACAACAACAATTGCTACCTACTACTACTACTAGTACTACTACTGCTACTACTATTACTACTAGTCAAATTAATTGTAATATAGACATATAACCGCTTAAACTGTAAAGAAATATTGCCATACCAGTATAAATTTCTAAATGATAATGAAAAACAAATAACGATCTCGCTGTGAATAAAATTACATAGTATAGGCTTACCCAGTTCGCATCTTTCTCCTCCCCATGGCTGTTTGCATGAACAAGCAAAAGTTTCCTTTTCTTGGTCAAAAATACAAGAACCTTTATTTAAGCATCCGTTCATAAGACAGCCCTGCCGAAAACGAAAAAATAAATATCCAACTGATATGATTCTACAACCAAAGCATTTAGCCTTTTATCTATCATTCAGAGAGTTTAAATTTTCGCAGAGATCTTTTATCTACGGAAAAGAGAAGAGAAAATCTTTCAGTTGAGGATTGAAAATTAAACTTAACATGTTAATTCCAGATACTTTTTTTTTCTTAGCATAGGTAACACGGTACAGCGACTCATCGTTTGCAACCCTAACCCTAATCCTAGACTACGACCAGTCCCCATTTTTCCCCAGGGATAGTAAAGCGCGCGAAAGGCGAGGGCGCGTACTCGCGAGGGGGTGATTTTCATGCGCTCTCGCGTTTCGCTAGCTCTACTATCCCTGAGGAAAAATGGGGACACTCGTAGTCTACCCTAACCCTAACCCTTCAAGTAGTTCAAAATTTACAACGGCTATTCAATATCATGTTATTAAATATAAATTTGGAAAAGACCAGCCGCGCTGCCGTAGGAAAGTAAAGTTATATGAAAGTAATTCGTAATTCGCTTGCTATGAAACAAAGCTATATCATGTTGTGACTGTGTCTCTTGAACCCCTCATCATGTCAAGAGAGCAGAAAGGGACGAAGACTAAACGTAACAGTGTTTTACACATTGACCAAGGCAACGTTTAGATCTTCTTACCTTAACGAACATTGTAAAGGTAGTGCCTAGTTGCTGAGTAAGCTTGCTGGTATCGTCGTTTATTGCAGAAAAGTCGTGCTTGTTTAGTTCACAATTTCCACTGCTACTTTTTTCAAGGAAGGCCTCTTTGAAGTTGATAGAGGTACACCAGGGGTGTCTTAAACACTCCTGAACGCATGACATGAGACTAGGCGAATTAGTTTGTTTAGCAACTTGACCTGCAAAATACTTGTTTTCTCTGATTATGAAGTAGCCCGATCTGTAGTTTTCGCGTGCTGCAATTACCGTCGCAGCTATGCAACAACTGATGAGTGAAAGAAACAT